GCAAATTGATTAAACTTTTCTCAATTCTTTCCTTGCCCTCTTTTTATATTAATAAAATACATTTTATGAGCAGTTTATTAAAATTATTTATTATGGAAATAAAAGATAAAAGTTGTGAGATTTTGTACACAAATCCTTTAACATCATTTTTGTGGGAATTCTTTTATATATTTCTTTTATTAAACTAAGTTTATATACATTAAGTAAATAAAATACTATTTTGTGTAGTGAATGGTTTTATTATAGATTTTAAAAACATTTTAAATGAATCGAAACTAATGTAAAAACATTATAAATTCAGTAAAAAAATGAAGATAATTTAAAGATATATTTTTACTTTATAAGGAGGCTTTATTTTAAGGTATCAAGATATACCTCCTATGCCAACCCCATATTGCATTTCGTTATGTTAATAAAACATTTAATTAACGCACCATTTATGGCCATCGGCCCCAATCGAATGCAGTCCTTTTGGCCTCCACTCGCTCCTTCCGCATCCACATCCTCATTCACATCTACATTGTGGTGCGTGCAGCGTATCTGAAGACAAGAAGGGTAAAAAAACCCCGACACAGCTGCGGTTTAGGCGGCATTATGGCTAAGGCCGCAACAAAAAAGATATATACATATATAAACACAACACAAAAAATGCGGTAACCGCAAATGTTTTTGGTGTAATTTCTGGTGTTTTTGCTTAAACGCTTCAATTTGCATTCGATATGCCACAGATGCTGATTCCGATTCAGATATAATTTTAAGATACACTTTCAGTGTTCTTGGCCTTTTGCTTTTTGCTCCAGCGCCAAATGACATTGAAATGAATAGGGTTTTTTGTGTTTATTGCAAAAAATCGGTTGCCGAATCGGTTGAGTTGGCTTATAGAAGGTTGTTCTGGAAAGTTTTTATTAAGTTTTTTAACCTTAACTTGCCATGGAAATGGTTGTTCAAAGTTGACAGGGAAGGTTCTAAAATAAAGAGTAAAGGTTTCGATATTTAAAAACTACTACCACTACTAAACTGGTTATTTACCATAACATTTTTTATTTAATTCTCTAAGTCAGAATAAAAAGTCCTTCACAGATAGAAGCTTCACCGTCCAATCCTAAGTAGTTTTCTGTGTCACATTACCCACCCGATTTGGTGGCATTATAACCATTTTTCCATATTCATACGTTAAGACCATACGCATACTTTTTAGCTGTCAAGCGGAACAATGATTATTTCCAAACCGAAAACTGGCTTCCATGGTTCTCCAACTTCAATGAGTAAAAAAGGAAACATTTTGGCTTTACCGTTAGTCGGCTATAACCCATCAATTATATTGTAATGATGTCTGGCTGCCGCTGCTTCAGCTGCTGCTGCTGCAGTCGCATCTTCAGAAATCATGGGCAGGAATGGCAACTGGGCAACGTGCTCATTATCAACGTCATCGTTGGCCATCCAGCCATTGGTAACGGAGGAGGGCGAGGGGCCATTAGAATGTGGCCAAACGTCCCAGTCCCAGAGCATTCGGATTCGGAAAGGAAAACTACTTGTAGCGCTGATGAGAATCGCGTTTGCCAAATCCACGCAGCTTCCACCAGGTCGACACTCGATCGGTGCACTCGGAGAAAAGTATTCCTCTAGGGTTAGGGGAAATAAGTTATCTATTTATTTTATTTAAGTAATATTTTAATTTATTAAAATTCATACGTTTTCATAGAAATATTCCTTTTAACCAATAAAAATAAGGGTTTAGTTAATGGTTCCTGGGAAAAACAAAACCTTAACTGGGAGTTACCATAGAATTATGAATTTTCAATTGGCTTGATTGAAAAAAGCCAAATAAAGCAAATGATTCATTTAATGTTTTATCTGCTCTTTATGCAACACTCCAATAATTAAATATTTTCTTGATTAACATTAACATTAACTGCCCCAACTAAATAGTAACATAGAAAAGCTTCACGATCGAAATGAATGAATTAATTCATTCAATTTCAAGCTGCAAGAGCGGCATATCCCTTATCCCGAATCTAGTTTTCTTTCCTGTTCGACTCTCTTTCCCAGAAATCTTTTCCAGTGTACACCTTGAAACTTTTTAGCCGCTGTAGCATTTGCATTCGAGTGTCCACTAAACGTCAATTAAGTGGGCTTTAGCCACTACTCGCGATGGTCAGGCAGTTTGATTTGGTCACCACTTCGCCGCCTCCTCTTGACCCTTACCGCTTCCCCTTATTCAGAAGATTTCTGCGCTCCAACTGCGATTTTCACTTTGCCCCTTACAAATGCATAACATAACATATAAAGTGAAGTAATAGCTATAACAATATTGTGTACACAAGGATCGGGGCGGAGTACTGGGTGGGGTCTGTGGAGGAAACTTGGAGATGCTGTCTGCCTCACCGTTGTTATCATCATCTGCATGTGTGTGAGCATCGCCCAGCGGCTCCTCGAGTGGCTTTCCCAGACCAGTCGACGGTGTGGTGATGTGGTGGATGCGGTGGCGGCGGCTCCCTTTGTCATTTCACCGTGACGCATGCGTAACGTTCGATTTGATTCAACTAATGGACGAGAATGATCTCTACGTGTGGTTGTGATTAGGTTGAGCTCATTATACCCTTAAAGGGTATTTTCATTTCATTCAGAAGCTTGTAACTATGTGAAGGAGTCATTTCCGACCCTATAAATTATATATATTCTTGATTAGCGTGAACTGCCAAGTCGATCTAGTCATGTCTGGTTAAAAAATAAATTTTTGAAAATTTTTCAAAATTTCAAAATTTTATAAGGGGTTACATTGTCAACAATTGGCAAAAATTTTAATTTTCTTAAAGGTGAAATTGAGTATGCTGATTTTTTAACCTATTAAAAACTAAGATCAGAGAGCTTTCCGAATTCAAATTAATGCATTTTTGGCTTAGTTGTGCGTTTTTTTAAACCTGGAAATGTCTAGAAAATTGTCATATAAAAATATCAATAAATTTTGATTCGGAACCGATTTTCTATTCAATCCTATAATTCAATAACAAACTGCAAGGGTATATAAACTTCGGCTTCCCGAATTTAGTTACAGTTCTGGATTTTGTTTGGTTTTAGATTCGGTATTGGTTTGTGGTCTAGGTAGACTGTGAGGCAGACTCATCTGAAGCTGATGGGTGGATATGTGGCTGAGTATATGGATTCGGAGATGTAGCAGAAGCTGGAGTGCTTTGTAAACAGATAAAGTACAGGTGAAGCGGTCTCGGCAAGTGGAGCCATTCGCAGAAGAGGCTTAAGATGCTACTAGGGTCTGTGGTACAAATATTTGTTTACAATAAAAATGTATTATTGTAATACCTTAAGAAAAGGAATTAATGTTTTTTTTCATACACTTACTTATCCTTGGATATCAGCAGGTAATACAGAATAGATTGAAAGATAGTTATTTTAAATATTTTCTATAATACAACGACCTTAAGCAGTTCACACAATTCTTAACAAGTACAGATCTATTTTATAAACAACAATCAAATTTATTGTTACTACCATTGATTTCCCATTAATCACTTTTCCAGTTTAGCGGGGCATAATTAATCAGAGATTTTAAAACAATAAAACTGTATTGCAATAATTGATTGTGCTTCTATGCTAAGTATGTGTAGAGACTCTATACCCGATCATGATTAATTGCACTTGCAATTTCGTTTTGAAAACGCTGAGCATCAATCACGAAATTCCGAATACGCCCCCCGACCAGCCCCCAGTCGCTCATTACGAATAACCACTCATAATGATAATCTTTAAAACTAAACGCCCGCAATGTCGCGTCAGTAAAAATGCATCTTTACTATGTATATTGTCTCTGTCTGTCTCATCATATTTTCCACATTTAGCACGGTCCCCGGCTTTATTTGTCAAGTGCGCAATTATTTATCGTTACTTTTAGCCAACTGTTGGAGGCGCCTACGCCGAGTGACTGCAGCTGGGAGGCTCTAGCTGCCAGTTACCTACAGATGCTGCTGCTGCTGCTGCTGCTGCTGCTGCGATGCATAATAATACCAATTTCTGGTGCCTGGCAATTAACAATTTTAACCTTGTTGTGCATGATGCATGTGGCTCCGATGATCATTTGCGCCGAGATGATGCTGATGCACTTAATCGTGTGTTCATAAAGAGTTGCTAAATGTTTTCGATTTCAGCCTCATGTCGAGTGCTCTCCGATTTTGCAATGGAAACGATTTTATTTTGAAATAGTGAGTACTGCCAATGCGATCTGTGTTGGCAAATATGAGACATCATCGACCGCATTTGCATAATCGATGGGTGATTGCTGTCGTTGGGTATTATTAATAACGAAAGTTTAGCTTGACTTTGATGGGTTTGATATTCTCGTTAGCATTTAACGTGGCTTCCTGCTAATGAAGTTGAACATTTGCACAAGTCTCCAGAGTGTGTGTTCCATTCCCTGCTGTTTTTATGGCCCGCAGCACTCAGGCCTTTTAATTTCTCATTTAAAATTAACACAAATTCCAAAAGAGCTTGCAGAAATTGCTGGCATAACATTTAGCCTGTTACCCACGACAATTCCACTCACAGCAGCAGCAGCAACATCAGCAGCAGCAGCAACATCAGCAGCAGCATCACAAGTGCAATCAGAGTAGCGTGACTTTGTCGTTTGATTGTTGCTGCAAAAGTGAAGGTTGAAAAATGCTCGAAAGGCGACAATTAATGCTCTAATAAAGCCAAAGAAAGATGCCACTCGAACAGTAGTACACGGGAATAAAATATAATAAAACATTTCAATAAAAAACTATATTTCTGATTGCGTTATTTTTTAACACAAAACTTAGTTTGATCCAGAAATAGCTTTTAAAGTATACCTGGAAACCTTAAAGATCTCAAAGATGATTATGATCTAGTTAATATAATTTTCTTTCGGTGCAGCAGATGCTGCTGCAGAAGCAGCAACATGCGAAGAGGGCAATTTGCAGTTGCAACTGCAACATCTGCCACAGTCGCCGCTTGAAGTTCCGTTAATAATGTTGTTAAAACACTCTGATGCCTTGATAAGCGCTTTCGTTTTGACGCTCTATTATGTGGGCGTGGTCGTTGGAAACGCATCCGACTTTGTGACCAAGTCCGATCTGCGCAGGACCAGGCGTGGTCATTCACTATCCCGCCCTGGGGGCCTGATAATGGAAGGTATTGGTTATCAGTACACAATGCGCTATCAGCCGGGTTTCTACCTTACCAAGCTGGCCCAGCAGGAGGCCGAAGATCCCCCACCGGCGACGGAGGCTCCAATGCCCATGCCCATGCCAACGCCAGCTACACCACCGCCGCAACCAGCTCCCACTGAAGCCGAGGAACCGGAGCCCACAATTCCAATGCGTTCAACATCTGCACCCACAGAGGTATCAAACATCAAAGAGTCCTGTTAGGATGCTTCCAGTCAATCTGTTCATTATATCCTAGGAGCCTCCACCTCCACCAGCTACGGATTCCATGATGATGATGCCCACGCCGAGTAACCCGCCCAAACCCAGTCCCAGTTCCGGTCCTCGTCCTAGTCCCAAGCCCACGATGAGACCTTCAGTGCCTCCATTGCCTCCGACCAGCACCAAAACCTCCATCATGCAGCCCCATCAGACGCTGAAAAACCTCCTCTTTGGATCACCTATTGAGGCGAATTTGATACTGAAAAAGCCAAATGCACCTCGCTCCAAGGGCAAGGGTTTCCTCAGCCTGTTCGAGGTGATAAAGTTCCCGAATACGCGGTGTAGTGTGTCCATGGGTGACATCCGTAGCATGGAGGGCGTCTGCTATCACGAATTCGAGTGTAAGAGCCTGGGGGGATTCCCACCGAGAGCTGTGCCGAGGGCGTGGGCGTATGCTGTGTATGTAAGTGAAAGTCCCGTGATCAAATCGATTGGAATTAGATATAACATCCGGCATCTTTCACTTGCAGTTGTCAACGGATGCGGTGATGTGACTAGCCAGCAGATTCTCTACTTCGAGAGTCCCAACTATCCCAATGCAGTGCGCGAAATGATGATATGCGTTTTAATAATCAACGTGAAGAAGGGGGTCCAGCAGCTGCGACTGGATTTTCAGATGTTTGAGGTGGGTTTGCTCTCTTTGTAATAGCATATATATCCAGAAATATTCTCTGAAATGCAGCTAAGTCGTCCCACCAATGGAGATTGCCTGGATGATCAGTTTATTGTCTCAGGTCACAACACAAACTTTCAGATTCCCGTTCTCTGTGGCATTAACACAGGTCAACACAGTAAGTAATACAACAACATTAAATATAGAAAATGAGTATATATAAATTACCAATTCCAGTTTATGTACATGTTGGCGATTCTAACGAGGGCAAGGTGTATCTCTCGGTGTTCATGAAAGTCTCCGGCGGAGGACGTTCATTCAATATAAAGGTAACCCAGGTGGACGAAAACCTGGCACCAAATAATTGTCTTCAATATTTCACGGAAGGAGAGGGACTAATAAAGTCATTTAATTATGATTCAGATGGTTCAATTGTGGACAATCGGGAAGCCACTTACTTCGTAAGAATGTTTTACATATAATACTAATTAAATCATCTTATTTAAGTCTTTTTTCTTACCAGAACAATCTAAACTATGCCATTTGTCTGGCGAGATTGAAGAACGTTTGCAGTGTGAGTTACAACACCGAGCAGTTGGGTGGCGATCAGCCTGATTTTCAAATTGTCAACAAAGATGAAGGTGAGACCATTTATAACCCAATAACTTGATAATAATGTTGTCTATCTTAAAGCCGAGAACGATTTGATCTCTGATGGTCAGGCTGGGGCTGGAATCTTCAACTGTCCGGATGACTTTATAGCCATCAATTCGGTACCGTTGTGCGGAGAGCGATTCAACGATGGCCGGGAGACCGACGATTACACCGTGCACGCCACTGTGAGGGACACCGCCGCAGGACCCATCATCCTGCCCTTCCGAACCGACTCGGAATATGTGGGTCGCGGCTTTCGTCTGCTCTACAGACAGGAACTGTGTGTCTGATCGACATGGAGATCACTGGTCCATCAGATGCATATGTTCCGCTAGATGTTCCGCTAGATAGTACACTGTTGGAGAAATTTCAAATAAAATTTCATTCAGTTTTTGAGATATATTTAGCTTTAAGTATATTTTGGTTTAGAGAAAGAATATCTGTTAGAAAGTGTTTAAATTAAGATTCAAAATCGATTCATGATTGTAAAAATTTTGAAAGAATACAAAACCTTAGTAGAGCTTATATCTGAACCCATGAATTATGAACCGATTTCAAAATAGTTTTCTCAGTACATGCATTGAATTTTGCACGGTTTTTGTGTAAACTGCAGGGCATCGGAGTTGGGCATTGACTATGGGATTGCGAGGTGCCTCTATGGGAATAAGCGGCGAGGAACGTCCCGTCACAGTTCCGTTCCCAGGGCTGCCCCCGTGTTAATGTGTTTTATGTGATTCCAAGCGATTTGGTGGCTTAGTCTTGGCGCCGCCCACCCACCGACTAGGCGGTCTCTGGTGCCCGGGTTCGTAGTTCACACAACATACAAGGGACCATGTCGATCGGCGTTGGTGTTCGTTGACAGGTTTATTTCAAATTTTCACGTCTCGCCTTGGCAAAAGTTACTACTATGGGTATGACGAAATCTATAACTCGCCGCATCGCCATCGCCATCGCCATTGCTTGTCGCGGTCTCTATGCTTAAATTTGTAATAAATTTGATTTTTTCCTTTCGATTGCGATTCTCCTCCGGTTTGCTGCCCCTTTTGCCGCATGATAAAGTCACAATTAACCCACGCCTTTTTCGTAGCGGTACTCTTACATATATTTGCATATCATTTTGATTGTTTGGATTCGGGCTGAACTCTTGATGCCTGATGCCGTCTCCGCTGACATGGTGATGACTGAAAGTGTGCACCAGCGCCACCAGAGAGCCCCAGACGGAGCAAAAGGCACCACCAGCTAGCAACTAGACCAAAGCAATCATGGAAAAAAACCTCCAACGAACCCACCTCGCGACCAACAATAGAAATCGGAAAGAAGAAGAGGGCGAAAAATGGCATATTGCATGCACAAGTTTTGAAGTTTGTCATCAAATGACGTTTTTGGAACTCCGCGGTAAGCTTCATGGTGGCACACTGGTGATGGTTTCCATGATGAGGAAGTAAACATAGATGCATAAAAAACAAGACTTTATAAAAAGAATGAATATAATATATAATGACGAAGGTGTGGGATAGTCAGTATCATATTTTTCAGTATTGCAACGCTATAAAACTTAAAGAAATTGATCTTCAATCTCGTTTATATTATTGAGTATTATTATTAGTAAAGGGCTTTATTCTATCGTCTTTAGTTTTAATTATGTTATGCTCTACAAAATAAATAAAATACCAGAAACCCTAAATTGAACATCATAACAGGATTAACAGGATTTCAAATTCATAGGTATAATGTTTATGTCAAGTTTAATTAAGTTAGTATTGTGTTGAGGATAAGATCTTCAAATACTATAATATTATTTATCAAACTAATGGCTAATTTAGCAGGATGTTCCTTTAGAAATATATCTACATATTAAAACCTTTTCTAACGGAATTCATAAGGAATTCATTTATAAAATGTTAACTTTAATCCTCAAAAATTCACTTCAAATACACATTAAAGTGACCCTAGAAAATACTAATACTCAATGCTCAGCCACTTAATAAATTAACTTACACCCACTGTACCTTTTTGGCCCCAGCAACGCTGGCATAAATAAATAAAAAACGGCAAAGCCACGAAAAAAATACAAAAAAAAAAAAAATTGTATAAAATAAAAATCCCTTCAGGGCGTAACGTGCACTACATTAGAAATTGAAAATCCACCGACGCCGCCAACAACAGCTCACAAGAAATCGCAATGACTATGACGATGACGATGGCGATGTAAATGTGGATGTAGATGTGAATTTGGATTTGGATGACTGTGACTAAGAGACGAGGACGTCGACAAGCAAGGCGACATCCACTAAAAGACAACATGAGAATCTTTTTTGCCATGGCAAAAAGCTGAAAAACAAAAAAGCCAAAAAATAAAAGCGCCGTTTGATGGAAATTAGGGAACTGAAATTCATTTTTGAGGTTTGGTTTGCTTTGGTTTTTGGCCGTGTCTAGGTCTTTTTCTGTGTTTTTCCTATTTTCTTGGGGGTGTGGGAATCACAGGGAAATGCAGGCGAGCGTGCATGGCAACGCCTTTTGTCACAGTTGCAATTTTGTGCCTTGTGAGCACACCGCCAGATTTGCATAATTTAATCAATTCGGAATGAGTCGAGAGTTGAGCAGAGTCTTCAGTTTAAGAGTCTACAGGACGATTGCCAAATATTACCAGTCAAAGATAGGTGTTTTAATTGTATCCAAACCCCCAGGAAAAATACATCTGTACTTATGAATACCCGATAGTTAAAGCACTGTCAATAAGACAAAATATAGAAAAGAATGTAACATATTTTGATTCAATTCAGGTATTCAAACAGAAATAGCTAGATGGTCTCGATAATGAGAAGGAAGTGCTAATGTCCCTCTTTTATTTACTTGTCTTTAAGCAAGTATACCCTATAAGTGTACCCTGTATGAGAAATCCAAGTGGAAACCAGCGACCACAGTCCACTCCATTCGTGGCATTCGGTTAGCATGCCTGAGATCGCAATCACAATCGAAATCAACATTGCCATCGCGGAACAGATCAATGCAGAGAGTGGGACACCGCGAAGATCGGTAGATTGAACCGACAAAATATTGGCAAAAATGCCAATAAATTTTTGACAAGACATTATACAAATGCTAACTTTATTAAATGGCTGCCTGCCTGGGACCACCGCTTGAGTTGGTTAATGGCAAAGGAGCAATGCAGTTGGCATGCGCCGATGCCTGGAATAAAGCGATCAAACCGGAGGAGCCTCCACCTTATCGCTGGGAGTCTATCTAATGAGCCAAGTCTTTTTTGTTTGCATCTGCTATTAATTTAATGACCAGCCGGACAGTTAATCATTTGGCCCAATGGAGCTTGGCTTTAATGATTGTGTAAGCAGCATGGGGTCCTGTGTTCAGAGCCAATTTTAATCGATAGTAAGCTTTTGCCAACCAGGTCGTAACGTAAAGTAATTAGTCATTGCTAAATTAATGACATATCAATCAGGATTCTGTTGCCCAAAGGTTAACATTTTTGCAGGAGTGTCAGGAGTGCTTGAAAGAACGACAAGATCAATCTACAGACTTTGGTAATTAATCAAGAAAGATATTTTTATATGAGAAATTGGTAAAATAAGATGCTTACTTTAAGGAAGTTGGAGAATAAACATAATACACCTTCTCCTAGAAGAGACGACTGTTATATCTCAACAATAAAACATAATAAAATAATTATTTAATGAACTCTATTATTTGCAAAAGTCATTTGTCTATGGTTACAAAGAACTGGCAATTGAAATAAATATGTTTCATCTAATGCAATTTCTCAACTGAGACGACCCAACCCACTCGGTGATACCAAGCCCCCATAGGAGGAGCCCCCAGCATGAGAGCTTTTTCTCAGTGACCCACAGTTCTTGGGCAAGATTCGCAACGGATTATTATATGGGCACCGGCACCCACTCGGGTACACCTGGTTTGGTTATAGGTTACGTTGGATTCTCGCATTCGGGCTCTAGGTTCGGGTTAGGTTTCGGTTTCAAGGCTTTGAAGACTCGCCCCGAACTGACACCAACACATCAAGTAAGCGTTTTATGATTCACGCCTGCATTAAAATCCCATCTCGGTGCGGGGATGGAGGGTCGGGTCGGGAAACAACGGACTCGGTGCGCAACTTCACGCCGTAATTAAACTGTCTTCGGGTGTGTAGTACAACCGCTCAAGCATTCAGACGTCCACAATCCATCCATCCATCCATTGCCATTTAAAGTTTCTCTTACTTAACAGATTCCGCCGCTCCTCCCGCCCTCTGAGTCGCTTTTCACACTATTTTCTACTAATTTAACGATTTTGTTCGACCCAACTCGGCGAATCGGTCCAGACCTACGCTCTTTTATTGCCGCACTTTTAGGACATTCCGACGATGCCGATGACGGTGCCGGTGATGGTGATGGTGCCAACCCGTTGCCATTGCCACTCTTGGCCATTTATTTGCTTGTGTAAAAACTCCAAGTGTTTGCTGCCGGTCAACACACAATGGAAATTGGCACATGAGGCATTTTTCCGCCAGTTTCATTTGACAAAATGTTTGCTTAACGCAAAGCTTGATTTGCTTTTAAAATAAGAAAGGAAGCTAACTTAGGGCAAGTGAAGATTGTATACCTTTACAGATTGCAATTGGATCAAGGGATTTAACTTAAAATCAATCATATCTAAATCAGTTCGGGAATCCTTCCAAATAAACATTTTTCAGTTCTTTAATATTCATTAAAATAAGCCAATTAGCATCCATTTAGAATCCTTCGATTTCGAGAAACCTCTTAATACCGTCTTGCAACTTTCATGGCGCATTTATCAAAACATCACAACGCCCCACCAAAAAAGGAGCCATTCGTAGCTTCTTAGATATTCGACAGGAAATAACAAGAGGTCCAAAAAGATGGCCACTAAATGGGTTTCGAGGCAAATAGGAGAGAAAGAGATTCCGGCAGAATGTGCATAAATCGCGTGAAAAATGTGAAAGAAGAAACAACATTTTGACACCAAAAAAACTAAGAGGAAATCCCAGTGCGCGACTCAGCGCTGACTAGATGATGATTATGAGTATGAAAAATTAATGATAGTCACAGCATGGCAATGGTTGCACGCACACGAGAAATGAACGAGGGGGCCAACGATGTAAATAGGCAGATTAAGCATACGCAACGTTGGCCACTTTGGCCAAGCCTTGTCAGCGTCAATTCTGCAAGGCTTATCCGTTAGTTACACACACAGAGGCATCGCCGCAGTCATGGACACAGATGCAAACAGCTTTCCACTCTCGGCATTTTTAATTTTTATT